ATGGCCTAAAACCAGGCCCAGTGCCAGAGACCCTACAGACTAAAACTGCTCCCTCCAGTTTTCCAGTTTGTCTTTACCAGAGCAGAAAGTCTCATCTGTCTCTCATGGAGTGGTTGGTGGTTTCAAACTGCTGACCTTCACATAACCCACTATATCAGCAAGGCTCCTAAAGTCTATGCTAATGCATAGGGATGCCCCTGGGGATTTCTGAGACTGTAACTTGTTTATGGGAATAGGAAGCCCAGTCTTTCTCCCCTGGAGCTGCTGATGGTTTCAAACTGCTACCTATGTGAATCACAGCCAACATAACCACTACACCAACACTCTATAGTGTAGCAAAAATACCACCTTTTTTTTTTTAATTTGAAAATACAACCTTTACATGCAGCGCGAAACCAAAAAAAAAATCCCCGACTCGCTTTATTGTGGTGGTCTGGAATCAAACCCTGATATTGCTAAGGTAAGCCTGTAACATAGGACAGTTATAAAAACTTCAAGTATGTATGTACAAGGTCATTCCTTCGACCAAGATATTAGGTGCCTTTTCTTAGGTGAGAAGTTAAAAAGCAAGAAACTTCCTTAACAGCCTCATGCAATTTGAGAACTGATCACTCTAGGGGGAAGCTCAGTTCTTCAGCAAGTATTTTCTCAGCACTCTTAAAAGCCAAATTTGTGGCCAACGCAGTCACATGATCCCTAGCCTTAAGAGTTTGTAGTCTAGGTAAAGCAAAGCATAAGTCATCTATCTATAAATTAAGGTCTGACATCACTTCCCAAGTTGGCAGTAAACAAATCAAAGAGCTAGAACCTATTTCATGCAAGGTTTGACATTTGCGAACATAGCACTCACATTACCAAAATGAAATGCCTAAATAAGTCAGTAATCTTGTGTTAAAATCTTTCCATGTTGAAAATGATTAAAATGAAGGGAACAAGCGATCCAAACTGGTGGTGAGGTGGGTGTGGAAGGCCTGGTAGGGCATGATCAAGGGGAATGTAACAAAGAGGAAGTGCTGAAACCC